CGGGGATCGAGCCCACAACCCAGGCATGTGCCCTTGGCCGGAATTGAACCTGGGACCCTTCAGTCCGAAGGCTGATGCTCTATCCACTGAGCCAAACCAGTAGGGCTATTCCTACACTTCTATAATTGTGACGAGGAAAGGCTCCTGCCTGCGGGGTGACCTCCATTCTCCTTTAACGTGAAGCCTTGCGTGTGTTCCGCAGGAGTCAAAGAAGTGTGGTGACACCTAAACACGAGTCATCGCACAAGTTATATGGTTCTCTGGTACCAGCAAAGTGGCCCAAACAGCTGAGGATCCAGGAGGGAGGCCGTGGCTTTAGGGAGTCTTGTTGGGCTCCTCTCACAAGCAGGTGACCAACGGCTTGGGTTTGCTAGATGAACAAGAAAGAGTAAGGGCATTCCAGGTGCAGGGGCAGCCTGTGCAAAGGCCCTGGCCTGGGGAAGACCAGGAAAAGGTTGGCAAATTCTGGGAACTGCACGGGTGCAGAAGAATTGTGCAAAGAAAAGAATGGAGGGGATCCCAGCAGGACAGTTTGGCCAGCCCTGGTCCCAGCGCCTGGGGCACCGGGCTGCCAAATGTAGACTTCACCAGGTGTCCAGACTCTAAGACAGGGAACAGCTGTCAGATCTGGGGTTTGGAGAGATGCCACCAACGTGTGGTGGAGGGGAGGACAGGGAACCCTGGGCGGAATCTCCTCTACGCCCCAGTTTCACTAGGCCCTTTGACCAGTCCCAGAGTGGGGACAGCACACTCAGATGGGGACAGCGGTCAGGGGAAAGGCTTTACAACACTGGGGTATGGCTCCATCTCAGCCCAGTGTGCTAAGCGACCTAGGGGAAAACACTGGCCCTCACTGAGCTGCAGCTGGGGGCTTCTCTTAAAGGGGCAGACAGACCTAACCCCCTCTCCTCCCCACCCCATTCCCCTACATCTCACTCAAATGAGAGAAAAGGCAACTGATGCCTATTATCCAGAGGAGGGAATGAGGACACAGGCTTGGGCCACATGTGCTGTGGAGAAGAGCCAATCACGGGGCTGACAGAGAGCCAATGGACCGTCTGTAGATAAAGCAGCTGGGCCTGTGCACCTGCCCCCAGGTACCACCACCCCTCCCCGGCAGGGGAGAAGGGCTCTTTGCTGGAGAAGCCAGCGGCCTCAAGAAAAGACACCCCTCTGGCATTTCCTTCCCTCTTGGATGTCCCCCAGCGTCTCTACTGCCAAAGACACCCCAGGTTCCATCAGGAATTCTGCTGCAGCCCAAGGATTATAAGGCATTGACCGCCACCCTGTTGGGGGAGCCTGGCTGGATGCAGCCCACCTGTGCAGGCTCCTAGGCCCAGCAACACACCAGTGAGGGGAGGGGAGGCTCTGGGACAGCTTCTGCCGCCCTTGAGGAAGTAGAGACGCATTCAGCCTGGAGCTGGCTGGCGGCCGCTGGGCTTCCAGGAGCAGCCACTGATGAAGTTGTTACCGTGAAATGGAAATACAGAGCATTTTCACACACCAATAATGAACTCTCAGAAAGAGAAACTAAAAAAACTCCCATTTACCATTGCAACAACAACAAAAGAGATACGTGGGAATAAACTTAACCAAAGAGGTTGTAATTCTGTATTTTGAGATTATTTCTTTCTAAATGCCACAGTAAAGTGTCCCCGAAGTGTGTGGCTTCCATTTGTTCATGTCATTTGATGCTCAAAGAACCTTGGCAAAGTTCCTTAACCTAAGTTACAAAGTTCTTTGTAAAATGGGGTTAATAGTACCTTCTTCAGTGTCAGCGTGAGGAATGAATTAGGGCATGGACTGCTGCACTGCCACCCCCAGGTGGCGCCATCCTCATTAGATTCTGTGTGATTGGCCCTAGAGGAACTGGGCAGCACAGTCTGCATAGCCATACCAGGCGGTCCTGCCTAACAGCACAAGTAACAGGAAACACTCAGTAAGGGGTAGCTAGTGTAATGACTACGTATTCTTATCATAACTTTTCTTTGCAAGAAAGGCAAATTTGCCTTTGGATGCTACAAAGAAGCTTCAGTTAATAAAAAAAAAGGAAATTAGCAAACATTAGACTTTCCAGACCAGGCATTTTCCTAAGGTGCTTTCACATGGGTCATTTCACTTAATCTTCACCACAACTGCATATCATCACCTCTCTTTGACAGATTAAAAAACTGAAACTCACCAAGATTTGACTCAGGTACATAAAACCAGTGGGGAATGAAGTATGGTAGCAATCATGTCAGGTAGAAACTATAGTTTAACTTTAACCCTGCTGTTTGGTTTCTGTACTTATTTGTTTGCTAAAATAATAGAAAAGTTATTTTGATTTTCTGAATTATATAAATCACCCCCATTCGATTGAATACCCTATTGATTGTACTGTGAATATCCCATTGGTTGTGGTCATACTGGTCTTAGAAAGCACATTTTCCTTTACCTGGGAAGGACAGCACAGTTATCCCAAGGTCAGAGGGCTCCAGTTAAGTGTCCCTGTTGACTCAGAGTTCCGGAGACCCAAAACTGTAATTGAGATAACATGCTTAAGTCTGACCAGGTTCCTCATTCCAGACCCGAGGGCTCTAGATAATGTGTTTCTGTCAATTCAGTGACCCCGAGACCCAAAACTGTAATTTAGATAACATGCTGCTTCTGCTTCTGTAAACTGCTTTTTTTGCAAACCAGGTTCCTCATTCCAAACCTTGGGATGTAATCAATACCTTTGTGATCTTTGCCTATATAAGTCTAGTTTTTCGACCATCTTACTACTATGAGATTTGGGGAATGGCCCCTCATAGTCCCAGATTGCAATAAATGTGACTCTTTAATTTGAAAAAAAAAACAAACAAAAAACTGAAACTCAGATATTTTAAATAGATCAAGTTGACTATTAAATATTTGAGCCAGAATGGGAACAGAATGGGAATGGGAGCCTGTTGGACTCTATATCCAATGTTCTTTCCACAGTGGCAAGCTGCAGACAGGTGTGTGGGTGGAGGGGGGAGCGGAATGCATTCTTTTTGGCCACCCAGCATTCATTCCTCTCTCTTCTGTAAGTAGCACCCTGATTTTTCCATCATAGATACAACCTCCCCTGGGACATTCTCAATCCACGTGATTTGGATGAGACTAATGGCCAATTTGTTCTGTCCCCTATGGTCACAGTGATGGTTCAGGAACGAACACTTGGTCCAAGTCAATTTGATTAAACTCAATTCCAGGGCTTTCGTAAGAACTGTGTGGAGGACAAAAGCTCTCCTTCTGCTAGACTTTAAACTATGAAGCCTGGGACTTTTGAAGGTCACTCTGAGGAGGGGCCTGTATTCAAAAGACAGCAGAAAATAGATGGAGAGAAATTGGGTCTGACATCTTCTAAGCCCTTAGAAAATTAGATCAATCTTTGTTTAGATCTATGTGAGCTAAATAATTCCAGAGGTTTTTTTCCTCAAACCTATTCAAACTGTTGTGTTTTTTTGTTTGTTTTGTTTTAATCCTCACCCCAGAATATTTTTTCCATTTATTTTTTTTTAAGAGAGTGGGAGGGAGGGGGAAAGAGAGAAAAAAACATCAATGTGAGAGAGACACATCAATTGGTTGCCTCATGCAGGCACCTCACTGGGGCTGGGGATTGAACCTGCAACCCAGGTACGTGCCCTTGACCAGAAATCAAACCCGAGACCCTCTGGTGCACTGGCCAACGCTCTAACCAATGTGCACACCAGCCAGGGATGTTTGTTTTGTTTGGGTTTTTGTTGTTGTTTTGTCATGTACAATTGAGAGGATCCTGATGGATCCAGGGAAGTGAAGAAATTAATACAAGGAGTTCTTAAGTACGTTTAAGCACCAAACCTTGTCTGTAAGTGATCTGTTAGCAATGTTGATTCTATTTGGTAGAATAAGGATTTTGTTTTATTAAACTTTATGTACTCTTTTTTTTTTTAACTTGACAAAAAGATCAGAAGATGTAACCAAAAATGGCATTAAAAAATAAATTAAAATTTAAAAAAGCAGTTCCAACACAGAAAAGAGAAAATAAAATCTGTTTGGTACCTCTCAGACAAACATCTTATTCCTAGACTTGTATCTGGTGATGTCAACATTCTATGCCCAGGCTTTGGAATTTGGGTTAAGCAGTATAACAGTGAGTTTTATGTGTCAACAAGGTTAGGATGGAGTACCTAGTTGTTCAAACACTCATCTAGGTGCTGCTGTGAAGGTTTTTTGTAGATGTAGTTAACATCTACAGTCAGTTACTTTAATTTTAAACGATCATTTTCAATAATGTGAGTGAGCCTCATCCAATCAGCTGAAAGCCCTAAGAGCAGAACTGAGGTTTCCCTGAGGGAGAATAAATACTTCCTGTGGACTGCCTCCTTCCTCCATCCAAGAATTTCTAGTCTGCTTGCCCACCTTATGGATCATATACGCTAATTCCTTGCTCTATCAACAGCTAGATAAATGATAGACAGATAGATATTCTACTGGTGGTTTCTCAGGTACCCTTGCTGACCCGAGCAGTCATGCCTTGGGTGTCTCTTGGGCATTCTCTGATCTCTGATCCCCAAAGTGGAAAAAGCCTCCTGAATTCTTCCCTGGGAGTCAGGCCAACTCCTGCATGCCTTCCTTTTCCTACCCTCTTTCCCTTCCTTCTGAAGAGCTTCTGCCTCAAAAACATAGAAGGCCTATATCTGCTGAGAGAACCATTTTCCCTGGTCTGCCCAGTTCAGCATACATCTGCTATATATTGAAACAATATAAACAGAGTCACTTTAAAATGCAGCCAGAGCTGCCATGCCAGAGGAACTGCCTTGCATGACATACCTCAAATCACTGGAATGTTTTAAAACAGGGCAAAATAACCTTTGGACTGAGCCTAAGCAACCTTGCAAAAAATTTTTTACAAAGATCACAAAAAAGTAGACTGATATAACTACTGGACTGAAAATTTAAAATATTGTTTAGAATTAATATCACTGTTAATTAAACTGCACCAACAGAAATGCCTTCCTTCTGTTGAGTAATTGTTCCCCTTCCCCTTCTCATAAATATCCAATGCCTTTGTCTCCTAGTTGGAACACTATTTGGGCTTTGCCTGAATCAGTGTGCCCGAAAAGCTATTCTTATTGATCTAAATAAATGCTGTTCGCCTCTCGCTTTGAAAGGCCTTTTGTTTTTAGGTTAACAATATTAACAACCATGATGAAGCCTGGCTTCTCCAATTATATTTCCATTGCTCCTTACTCTTCATCTTTGTCCAAGCCCAGAAGTTTACTGTATTCCCTCCTCTCCCTTCCTCCAGGGTAATTGTGATTTTTAGCCAGCACATAACTTTCCATAATAAAACTACATTTCTGAGCCTCATTTCAAATGTGTGGTCATAGACTAGGTTGTAGCCAATAAATGGGACATGAGCAGAAGTAATGTGTTTAACTTTCAGGTTCTGCATTAAAAGGAAAGGCATGCCCAACTGAAGAATGGTGATGAGCCATACTGGATTCTGTGGATCACAGCACCACCCCTAGGGGAGTGAAGCAATAAGATATACTGTCACCTGAACTTCATCTGGTTTATGATATTGATTTTTGGAATTTCTGCAGCAACATACAAACTTTCATCCTAACCAGTATGCCACAAAGCTTACCAAAGGAATAATCTACTTAATTCAACCATCTACTTCTTTTTTAAAAAATATTTTTTTGTTGATTTCAGAGAGGAAGGGAGAGGGAGAGAGAGATAGCAAAATCAATGATGAGAGAGAATCATTGATTGGCTACCTCCTGTAAGCCCCACACTGGGGATCGAGCCTGCAACGAGGGCATATGCCCTGACCGGGAATCATACTGTGACTTCCTGGTTCATAGGTCAACGCTCAACCACTGAGCCATGCCAGCTGGGCAATCATCTACTTCTTGAACCACTGAGTGTCCTGTTTCCTGACTGCTTCTCCTCCTTCCCACCCTTAGACATGGGTGACTCCCTCACTCCCAGGGTCTTCCCTTAAACCTGGTTTCTTTCTCTATTTTCTCCCTTGGAAATCACATCTACTCTTATAGACGATAACTTCACACTCTTCTAAGCCTAACTCATCTCTAAGCACCAGGTCTGCTTATGAGATCTCTCCTGCCTGATCAATTGCTAGCAAATCAAACTCTGTATGTTTAAAATCAAATTGACAATTCTCTCTCCTTCCCTCCCTCCCTCCCTCCCTCCTTCTCTCTCTCTCTCTCTCTCTCTCTCTCTCTCTCTCACACACACACACACACACACACACACACACACACACATCAGGAGTACGTGCCCTTGATGGAATTGAACCCTCAACCCTTCAGTTGGTGGGCCCACGATCTAACCACTGAGCAAACCTGCTAGGGCCCAAACTGCTTTCACAGCTCCAGCACTTCAAGCTGTCCATCAAGATTCACTTTTCATTATTTAAATTGCAGCTGTTTTTTTTTTTTAAATCCTCACCTAAGGACATTTCCACTGATTTTAGAGAGGAAGGAGGAAGTGAGATGGAGAGAAAGAAAAATCAATCAATTGCCTCCCTTAAACGCCCCAACCAAGGATCAAACCTGCAACCTGGGTATGTGCCCTGACTGGAAATCAAATCCATGACCCTTAGGGACAATGCTCCAACCAACTGAGCCACACCAGCCAGGACACAGTTAATATTTGCTATGTGACAATAAATAGTTTATTGAGAAAAAGATTAATTACTTGACTTAGATCTTATACTACTATTGCTTTATCTAAAATTAATTAAATTTGATAACTTAGTGGCAAATTCAAACCTTCAATTTTTTCCCCAGACTTTTGGCTAAAACTCCAGATTCTTTCTAGCATTACAATGGCATTTTTGTACAAAATCCAATAACTTTTTAAAAATTGTTGTAAAATCTCAATGAAAATATTGTGGAAATATTTTTCAATGAAATATAATATTTTTGGCTCTCCAAAGTTCAATACATTGTATTCAATGTGATTCTAAGTGCCATAAGCTCAACAAAAACCATTATCTTCAAAATCTTGACATTTGTGTTTTAAGCAATTTTTTTATTTTTTTCAATTACAGTTTACATTCAGTATTATTTTATATTCATTTCAGGTGTACAGCATAATGGTGAGACAATCACATACTTTACAATGTGCTTCTTCCCTCACTGTTTCCAGTACCCACCTGGCACTATACATAGTTATGTATGACTATACTCCCTAAGCTGTACTTTATACCCCATGACTATTTTGTTACTTTATACCCCCATGACTATTTTGTTACTTTATATCCCCATGACTATTTTGTAATTATTAATTAATCCCTTCACCTTTTTCACCCAGTCCCCCAAGTCCCCTCCCCTCTATCAACCATTAGTCTGTTCTCTGTAGCTAAGAGCCTGTTTCTGTTTTGTTTGTTCATTTATATTGTTCTTTAGATTCCACATATAAGTGAAATCATATGGTATTGGTCTTTCTCTGACTTATTTCACTTAGCAGAATACCCACTAGGTCCATCCATGCTGTTGCAAATGGTAAGAGTAAGCAAAATATTAAAACACTTTTATGTGAAGCAAATGAAGCTTCTTTGAGGATGCTTTAAAATGTATTGCCTTGATTATGTTTTCTCATTGTGGTACACCTGTGTTTTGCAACAAACAGGTCCATAGTACACATGTCCATATCAATATTATTCCTTTAAAAGTTCTAGTAAATACTTTTGTGAAAATGTTTAAATATATTTTATTATATAGTGCTAAAAATTCCAATAGTACCTTCTAAGTCTTTTTTATTGCTTTATTCTCACTTTGATAACATTTTTGGGAGTTTTAAGTTTTCAAATACTTAATGTATGAAACTTTAATTTCTTCCAATGTGCTAACAAAATTATTGTAAGCTAGTGATTCTCCTAAAGCAATTTGTGTTTTGTTAGCCACAGTCCCTTCGGTAACACAGGCCAAACTATGTCATCAATGTTTCTCAAATGTCACTACAACAGAATGCCCATTTTCTATATCCTAAAACTGTTAGTACAAACCAGTGAATTTATATTAAAAATTTATATTAACTAATTGTAACATATAGCACAATTACTATGAGACTGTTTACCATGAAGTGCTTCAATATTCTCACCATCAGTTTGGTGCAGGGTGTATAGACATCAGCTCTGGTCTACCCACTGAATTTAGTCCAAGGGCTGCCCGTCTTAGCTTCTGGTCAAAACTCCAGATCATCAGTGGGTCCTGAAGGAAAGATGGGGCTGCATTTCAGAAGCAACTCTAGAAGAGTAGTCCATGCTTAATTTTTGGGTGGCGGATGGGTATCAAGTGACGTCACACCTGAGCCCTTTACTGACTGAAGTTACCTACCTGCCTTCTATAGTAATTTGAATTTTCCGCATCCCTGGATTAGGTTTTGAAAAAAAGACTTCCACAGTATGATGGTTTCCAGAGGGGAATGGGAGCGGGGTTAGTAAAGAGTAAAGAGGGGCAAAGATATGGTGATGGAAGACGACCTGACTTGGAGTGGTGGGCACACAATGCAATATACACATCATGTATCACAGAAATGTAGACTTAAAACCTATATCTTATTAACTAATGTCACCCCAATAAATTTTAAAAAGAAAACAGAAAAAAAGAAGAAAGATCTGTTAAACCTTAAAAAAAAAAAAAGACTTCCTATCCTACAAAAATCCTGAAAAGTGATTTACAAGTCCTGGCTACCTGCTAGAAATGGGAGGGAAAATAGCAAAAGCAATCCCTAAATTATTATTGCCAAAATACAGCATCTTGTCACAGATGTACCTCCGACTTCTGCTGGCCCAGGTCAGGATTTGGCTCCCTAAAATCTTCACTAATCCCCAGCCAGTGGCGCCCACCACCTCCTCAGGCAATGCTCACAGTAGTCTCTTCCTTTTAATTTACATGTTACCCTTAATCACAGATGCATCGAAAATAAATCCCAACTCCCATCTAGCACCCTTTGACCCACCCATTGGTCCACGAACACTAAATCTTATGATTTTCCTTCACATGGCCAGACAGGGCTCCTTTCCCTATAGATCTTAAGCAGTCACACCATGTCTTCCTCACTACGCTTTCCTCAACCGGGAGCACGCTCCGTCCTTCCTTCTCGCAGGAATCCGTCTGCGTCTGGCACAGAAGCAACTGAACCACCCAAGGAGACTTTCCTGGACTCCCTGGTGCGCCAGACCGTTTCCTCGGCGGCCCCGCTCTTCTCGGACCGCCTGTCTCTCCGCGCACTCATCCTATTCGTCCTCAGAGGGCAGGGGCTGGGCAGAAGTCACTTCCGGTCCAGGACAGGCCCCGGAGTTTGCTAAATAGCTCGGTTAACGAGGGTGTCGGGCCGCCGTGCCGAGCACCTACTAGGTGCCAGAACTGGTTAGCGCTGGGACGCAGTCTGCTCAAAGGAGCTTACAGTCTATTCGCTAATTCAAAAGTTGTAAATGCGGTGAAAAGCAAATAAGTGACCCGGACTCCGCCTCGCTCAGAGCCGAGGGAGCAGGAAGCGTCTACCATTGGCCTAAGTTTTTCCACCAAACAGCACCGCCTCTGCCTCCAGAGCTGCGACCAGCCCTCCCTTCCCCACGCGCTCTCGCGTACCCAAGTCCATTCAGCCACACACTCCCAGTCCCGGCGTGCCCCGCGCCGCTCTTCGCGGCCCCGCCCCTCCGGCTGAGCATCCTCTTCCGGACAGGCCCCGAGGGCCCCGCTGCATGCCGG